CCATCCTATAGGCTTTTGTTTCCTAGGAAACAGAGGGCTCATTTGCCATACACTCCCTGTGACTATCAAGGCTCCTTCCAGTTTCCTGGGTAATTCCCCAAAACACACCTGTGAGATGGCGCCAGCATTCTGGATGTTCGCATAAACACCCTCCTCCAATCTCACCTTTGCCCAGTGGTTCAGAGCTCACGGGCCCTGGCCCAGCCTCCCCTGGCCCCTGCTTCCCCCTTTCCTCCCCTTGGCCCTGTCTCCTCTGTGGCCTTCAGGAGGGAGTGTCTGAATGAGTCTCATGATTGACTGCTCCCCCCCACAGAATCTTCCCTCATTAAGACCAATTTAATTGTCTGTTTTTTGCCATGCTTTCTAAAAAATGCAACGCCATCTAAAGGGTCAGTAGTCATAGTCATCTTTAAATTTAATTCCGTGTTCACTCATTAAGCTCACAAATAAAATCACTCACCTCTCCCTTTCAAGTGCCACCATTCAGGCCACCTGGCAGCGAGGTCAACACTGACATCTTCCTAGGCCACGTGACACCTGGCACAAATGCGCAGCCCAGGGTCTAATTACCTTTTAGAAAACTTTCTAAGCTATGCTCAGGGTGAGGTATGCATCCTTTTATGCAGCCTCAGAAAACTGTAATTAATTCTCAAGTGATTCAGAGTGGTGCGAAAATATTCCTTGGACGATGAGAAGGTACTTGAGGGTTTGTATTAAATCCGAGGTTACAATTATGGCTACAATTGCATGAGGCTCTGGAGAGAGGCCGTCTTTGCTGTGGACGTTCAAGGCTGTGGGCTGTGGCCTAAGTTTCTCAGATGGGTGCTCAGGAGAGGGCCGTGACAGGCAGCGAGTGTTGGCAGGTCCACGGGACTGCCAGGGACACCTGGAGACAGAGCTGTTTCACCAGAGTAGAGAAGTAGTGAAGCTCCATGGATGGCTCTGGCCTGGGGACCTGAAATGCCCAACCCCACCCCTGCTTCCCCATGTGGGAACAGAAGGACATCCTGGTGTCTGCCCAGACTGATGGAGGAAGAAGGTACAGGAGACTTTTCATAGACACAACAGCTTACAGCACTTTCCACCTGTTCTCCTGCTGGGGGCTGCTTCGTGTATAAACACCCACAACTTTGATGTCAGTGCAATGCACCATAATTAAGAATGAGGCCAAGACCAGTGCACAACTAAAATGTCACCTGAGAAGGATAAGCTAAAACAGCGTGGATCCCTATGAACCACACTTGTCATCTGATCAGTAGGAATTACCAGAAGCCATAAAAACAACTTATTTGACAACTTATCAAACATCGGCTTCTCCTGCAAGTTCAGCTCAGAGCTAATGTTTCTATCTGTGGGAGAACAGGGCTTAGTTCCCAATGCAAAAGTGGTCCAGTGTGCCCTGGCCTTTGTCTGCACATCCCCTCTGTAAAGGTTGTGCTCTTTGGCCAGGGCTCAAGAGTAGCTGAAGAGGTGGCATGCACCTGGGTCTCAGCCTAGGTTCTTTGAGCCTAGGAGTCTGAGATCAGCCGGGACAGCACAGTGAGACCCAGTCTCACAACAGAAACAGAAAGCATACTACAGCAAGCTCCCACGGGCCTCTAAGGTGTTGCACTTGGGTCTCCACTGGCACCACCAAGCAGAGAAGGAAATGATTCTTCTGCCTCCTCCCCCCTCACTCAGTGGAAAAGCGCTGAGGTTTAAAGAGACAGTGGACTCTGTTCTGTTCTTCACGTCTAAGCCTCAGGTCACTGTCCCCACACTAGAAATTCCTTGTATTTATAAATACAATGATGCAACAAGCTCTTAAACAAAACCACAGGGCAAGTAGGCTGAAATCTATCAATGTCACCAAGAAGAGTGGACAGAGGTATGACGTAAGAAAAGAAACGGGGCCACTTGTCCAGAAGCTCAGAGGTGCTCTGTGCTGGGGCTTCTGGAGGGCTTTGTCTCACATCCAAGGGGACCTCATGAGGCATCTGTGCCCTGAGTGCTGTGGAAACACATATGGAGGTGGATACTGATGGAAAGGGAGCCCCAGGCAGCAATAGAGAAGCAGCTCAACTACAGGGGTATTGGATCAAGTCTCCAAATGGTCTCAGTGCACTCACAAATGCCTCTTCCCCTACAAGAGGACGTGGGACATAAGAGAGTACAGGGTAGATAATGTTGTTTAAAATACCAACTACACAGTAATTAGGAGAGGCCAGCCAAGATTACATGGATTTGCAAATGCAGAATTGTGGTTTCATGCCTTTGACTGGGATTTGTACTGCCCGAGTTTTCTACTCTCGAAGTGACAGGGCAGTCCTACAAGCAAACTTGCAGAATTAAAGAACCACCTTCAGGAGCCAACTCTCAATATGGAACCCATCAGGCCAGTTCTTGGTTTCTGATTCATATGCTAAAATGTTGGCTGCCAAAGACAGGCATCATTAGCTGTCAATCGGGTTGAGCTAGAAAATCAGTCAACTACCCCACGTAGCAAAGCAGCACTGAGAAAGTGAGCGTGTGTGGAACCTTATCAGCTTGACATGGAAAATGACTCTGCACTCCCAAAATGTGGAAAAGAAACATGGTGAAAGTGTACCTTCTAGAAGAAAACACGTCAGCCTACGTGTGCTTCAAGTACCCATCTATGCAACTGTCACTGTATTGTCTTGGAAATAAACTTACCCTCTTCACTAGGAGCAGCCTAGATCTGGAGTTAAGATTTCTCTGGGTTTTTTTTCCTAATAAGGATAATTATCTCCAAATAACAGAAATGATTAAGTGGTCATGATCGGCGCCCTCCCGGGAGCCCAGATCAGCTGACCTTTACAGTCTGCGTGGACAGTCTCCAGGGCCCGAGCAGCCTGCTCCTCCCTTGAGGGATGGGGTGCAGGGGCAGCCCTGTTGCTGAGCTGCCTAACCATACTTCTTTGTTTTGGGAGAGAGGACAAGGCTCTTGTCAGTCCCTGTATGGCTCGTCGGGCACTCAGATAAGTCAACAATCACATCAATTCTCGATTCTCAATAGCAGATCAATAACCATTTCAGTCTTCAAATCAAGAATCCTGGCCTACTGTTTACAGCGTGGATTCTGCCACAAAATAAAGCCTACCAGGAGGGAACAAAAGTGCCTTTTCACCATCAGAGAGCAAGGCTTCACTAGACATTAACAAGTTACACTCAGAGATGGAAAACTGTAGTGCAGACTGAGAAGTCCTATGTATCACAAAAAAAAAAAAAAAAAAAAAAATTAAAGTCTTGGACCTGTTAAGAAAGGCACTAGGGGCAAAGGTCAGAGTAAAGGTTATGATTAAGAGCAGCCCAAGCCGGGTACCAATGGCTCACTCCTGTAATCCTCGTTACTCAGGAAGCAGAAATCAGGAGGATCGTGGTTCAAAGCCAGCCCAGGCAAAAAGTTCGTGAGACCCTATCTCGAAAAAAACCCTTCACAAAAACAGGACTGGTTGAGTGGCTCAAGGTGAAGGTCCAGAGTTTAAGCCCCAGGACCACAAAAAAATAAAGAGCGGCCCAAACCCAAACGCAGGCACTGAGGTTTGCAGTCAATGAGCACATGCAAGGCTCAGAATACAGACACCGAGAACACACTGCACCCCAACACCGAAGCCTGACTGCAGAGGCGAGAGACCACACAAGGAACAGGGGAAGGAACTTCTTCTGACAGAGGCCGTGGGGAGCTGAGCACACATCAGGCCTGCAAAGGCCTAGGATGGCATCGGCATGGGCGTGTTTCTCTCCTTTCTGTCGTTCTACTCATGCTGCCCAAGATGCAGTAAGAAGCCGATTCATGAAGCAGACAGGCTGATATTCAGATAGAGAAATACAGAGGGCTAAAAATGAGGCCACAGATCTCCCCCAAAACTGCCTAAAAAGGCACCAGCCTAAGGCCTCAGTCAAGAACACCTCAGAGATGGGTAAAGGGTCGTTTTTTTTTTTTTCTTTTTTTTGCTGAGTGGTGGTAGAGAAATGCAATTTGCTTCCCCCTGAACTGGGTTTTGTGTCTGTGCTGTTTTCACTCCTGGGGGGACTGGGTGGATATGGATGTATGTGAAGTTATGTACTGTGGAAATTCTGGTCTTCTCCATTTGCTCATCAACAGAAAACATCTTTCCTTTCAACACTGAAAAGCCCCCTTCCCCATGACAGTACAACTCACTCAGGCCACAGAGTTCTCTAAAGAGGACCTCATCCAGGCCTGCAGACTGTGCACGACCAAAATCAGAGCGACTACCGTGGTCTCTGCACCTTCGAGTAAACACACATTCTGGAGATATTTAAAGAAAAAGTAACGAGGGTCAAATTGAAACAAAGCAGCAAGCAGCTTTACAGCATCTGGCTGACGGCTCAGGATTTACCTGCGACATCAGAGCTCTGCCACAAGGCGGGAACTGCTGGCCCTGCCAGCCCCGCCGGCCTGTGCCTCTGGAGAGCTGTTCTCAGCTGACTCAGCAGGACCAATCTTCCGTGTCTCCAGGAGGACAGCTTTTTGTGAACGGCTGGGATCTGTTCATTCTTAGTGTGACGTAAACACTCATGGACTTTTTGATGAAAGCAAACATCCAGTGACCTTGTTTTGTGAATGCATTTTAATCATTAGAAATTTGAACTCACTACCTCTGTTGAGTCTCAGGAAGTGCTTAGCAGCTAAAAGCACTTGACACACAGACTGAGCTCGAGTTCCTTAAAGCCAGCTCTCAGCTTCTTGAACTCTTAACTCACTGCTAAAGAAATACCAGGGGATGATGGGATCCCTGCTTTCCTTAGGTAAATACAGTCCCAGGCTGCGAATCTGAGAAACCTGAGGGCACTGCACCACAGTACCATTCTGACTTCAGAGGGATGTGGTTTCTTTCTCATGTTTAGTGGCTGTGTGACTCTTTCCACATTGTCAGCCTGGAGTGACAGAGCCTGGCAGAAAGCCCTATGCTTACCCATGGTCCTATACCTGCAAGCCATCTCAGATGTGCTCCAGCCAAAGCCATTCTGGTACTCACCCTGCAGCTGCCGGCCCTTGTACAGGTCCCGGGCCTTGGTTGGGTGCGCCCTGGCTGTGTTGTCACACTTGGGCTGCTCGTACCTAGAAAGGTGGAGGAAGGAAAAAGAAAAACAGCTGGGTTGAGACCCTGAGATAGCTGTTTTCTTTCATTTCGTGTGGATCCTACAAACTGTCCAGCACATTCCATGAGCCCTAGTCCTCTTACAGCAATGCCATGATTTAGCTCCTTCTGTTGCCTCGTGAGCATTACAATAAGCTCATTGCCACAGTCAATAGGAAGATGCACGGTGCCTCTTCTCCATGGGGCCCAGGACCTCTCTTGACTGGTCACCCATGGAAAAGAACAGCTTATGCCCATGCAGCTGCATGCACACGGCCCCAAGAGAGGGCTCTAGAGTTGGACACAGACGCTGCCTGGGGCCCACTGGGAATGGCCAAGGCCTCGAGGCAGCTGGAAAGAGCCTTCATGAGCTTTCACAAAGGTGAAAGAGAAATCTCGATCCTGGCCCTAATGGAGCAGCTGGCAGTCAGCATACTTCACTTAGAACTCCATGACCCATTCCACCTCTCTCCCCACAGCTGGTCAGTGGCCAGGTCCAAACCTGCTCCAACACACACCCAGCCTGGACTCCCCCGGGCCTGGCAGCCAGGCTTTGCAGAAGTGCCTCGACTCCAGGAACCTAAAAGCAGTCCCTCCACACAAAAGGGCAGCAGAACCAGGAGAAGAGGAGCCATGGTCCCTCCTGACAGGCCAGGTGACCCAAGCAGGATTCTGCACTGGCCAGACACGTGAACCTAGGGCCTTGACTCAAGTCTAGAGCAAAATCAACCTTCCTTCTTCTGCGCGGGGATGTGAAGACAAGAGAGCTGGCTTAGAATGGCTATGCACTTGACACTCCAGCTTCTTACTGCTGTCAGCTCTTCAAACTTCCTTCCTTATCAGGAAGTAGGATGATGACTGAGGAAAACAAATGCTTGAGCCTCCACCCAAGAGCAAAACCAAAAGTATTTCCCTGGGTTCCTCACTTCAGGAAGTCAGGAGAGAAC